ACCCCGGTTACACTCAGAGATGTGGCGCACACGTGAGGCTGTAGTGTGAATGCGTCCTAGCCCCCATAGATGTAAGGCTACATTTACACTGGTGCGTTTATTTTTTTAAATGAATACGATCCTCGTCATACTGGCGTTTTCACAGCGTTTCAAGCCGGCTTAAAACTATTTGCACTGATTTATTGTGTTGGTTACATTTTGTTCCTTTGTGCAGTGGCTCAGGAGATGAGTCTGAGTTTGTTTAAGCATCAACAAGCTGAAAAGTAAAACCAAAGTTTTTTTTTTTTTTAGATAATGTAATCTTGTTAAAATTGATTTCCTAAAATTGGTATCGAAAAAAGTATCGTTAAATAACCAGTATCGAAGTCAAGGTATCGTTATCGGTGTCGATATCGAACATTTTTGAACGATACCCAGCCCTACCCATGATAACTTTGGTGATTTTATTTCAGTTAGTTGCCAAGGCAACCTTTCTAATTTTTGGAAATGTTGTTGTGAGCTTTTGTCTAGGGTTGGGTATCGTTTGGTTTTTTTTCGATACCGGTGCCAAATCGATTGAGTAAACAGAACATATAAACATTTTGAATGATAAAACAAAGACAAAAAACACTTGACTGCGACAATATAGTTTATCTGTGTTATTTAAGCCATCTCTGGTATTTTCATTATAATTCAGTATATTTATAATAGGGTGACCATATTTTAGTTTTCCAAAAAAAGGACAGTAGGGGGCGGGGTTCGTGGGCGGGGCTTCACCTAACAGTATACATAGCCAGGTTTTTTTTGTTTGTTTTTTTTGCTTATTTTGTTTTTATAATAAATAAAAAGAAAACAAGTAGAAAGAATAGAAAAAGAATAGGGAATGCTAGTGGTTAGAGGGTCATTTTTTAATAAAAATAAAACAATTCAATAGAACAGAAAAAGAACAGATAATGTTAGTGTTAGAAGGTCATTATTTATAATCAATAAAAAGAAAATAAGTGGAAAGAATAGAGAATGCTAGTGTTAGAGGTTCTTTTTTCTTTATAAATAAAACAAGTAGAATAGAAATAGAATAGAGAGTGCAAATGTTAGAGGGTCAAGTTTTAAAAAAAAAAACAAGCAGATATAATTAGAAGTAGCATTAGAATAGAGAGTGCTAGAGTTAGAGGGTAAAATGAAGATGAAAGAGATGTGTTTTCAGCCGTTTCTTCAAAATATTAAGGACTCAGCTGCTTGGATTGAGCTGGGCAGTTTTATTTAGCTTTAATATTTTTTTCAGTGTTAGTAATTTTAGTACTTTAGTTAATTAGATTTCGGCTTATTTCAATTATTTGCCAAGGCAGTACTTCTAATTTTTCTAATTTTTTCTAATTTTTGTGCTTTTGTCATTTTTATATATATATGTGTTTATACAGTATATACGTTTCTTTAATTTATTTTTATGTAAGTTTTAGTCATTTTACTACCTCAACTTTAATTTAAGTTAGTTGCCAAGGCAACATTTCTAATATCTCTTTAAGTTTTATTAATGTTGTAATATGCTTTTGTCATTTTTATTAGTTTTTGTGCCTTTTATTTTTCTGTTTTATTCAATTTATTTTGATTTTAGTTTTATTCATTTCAGTACTTAAACTCATTCAGTTAGTCACCAAGGAAACTTATTTAAATGTAAGTTTCCCATGTAATATTTATATTTTGTTTTATTTCAGATGCTGAAAACAATTTTTAGTAGTTTTAATTGACCATAACAACACTTTTCTTTGACCTGTGAAGTTGTTTACAACATAGTTTTTAATTGTCATTTTACAATTTAGGACAATACCATCGACATTGGTGTTGTTTAAAAACTTGCTTCCTAAACAACATTCAAATTATCAGAATTTTCCAAAACTATAGTAGTCAACATTTGAAGTGGATCAAAAAAGTTCACCAAATTGTCCTAAGACAAGAACACATTTTGGTTTTAGGATTTAGGACAACTTTGATAAAAGGTTTTGATCCACAACTTCAAATGTTGAATAGTGCTTTTGCTGATAGCTGATTCCATTAAAATTTTGGAATTTCTTTTAATCACTTTTTTCACCCGTCCAGAGTTTGCAAGATTACTTTGAAAAGCTGACTTTAAAAAGACTCCCTAACCTGTTTCCCCTGACACTGATGACATTTACATTACATTTTCATTTAGTCATTTACTGTAGCATACGCTTTTATCCAAAGCGACTTAAAAAAGAAGATAATGGAAGCAATCAAAATCAACAAAAGAGCAATGATATGCAAGTGCTATAACAAGTCTCCGTTAGCTTAACGCAGTACACAGTTGTTTATTATATAATAAAAAGAAAATGGATAGAATAGAAAAAAAATAGAGCAAGCTAGTGTTAGAGGCCTTTTTTTCTTTTGATAATTGTATAATAAATAAAAAGAAAACAAATAGATAGAATACAAAAAAGAATAGAGAAGCTAGTGTTAGTTTTTTTTTTAACTAACAAGCAGTTAGTAAATGAATAGATTGCAAGTCTAAAAGGGGCATGTTTTCTTTTTTGAGAATAGAATTAGAATAGAGAGTGCTAGAGTTAGAGGGTCAAGTCAACAAATAGTTAAAATATAATTAGAATAGAGAGTGCTAGAGTTAGAGGGTCAGGTCACAAGTCAACAAATAGATCAAATAGAATTAGAATAGAGAGTGCTAGAGTTAGATGGTCAGGTTAACATATGGTTAAATAGAATTAGAATAGAGAGTGTTAGAGTTAGATGGTCAAGTCAACAAATAGATAAAATAGAATTAGAATAGAGAGTGCTAGAGTTAGAGGGTCAAGTCAAAATAGAATTAGAATAGAGAGTGCTAGAGTTAGAGGGTCAAATATAGATGGAAGAGATGTGTTTTAGCCGATTCTTGAAGATGGTTAAGGACTCAGCTGCTGGGACTGAGTTGGGCAGGTCATTCCACCAGGAGGGAACATTTAATGTAAAAGTCTGTGAAAGTGATTTTGTGCTGCTTTGGGATGAACAATAAAGCGATGTTCACTTGCAGAACGCAAGCTTCTAGAGGCATAACTCTGAAGTAATGAATTTAGGTAAAGGGGTGCAGGGCCAGTGGTGGTTTTGTAGGCAAACATCAATGCCTTGAATTTTATGTGAGCAGCTATTGGTAGCCAGTGCAAACTGATAAACAGAGGTGTGACGTGCGTTCTTTTTGGCTCATTAAAGATTAATCTTGCAGCCGCGTTCTGGATTAATTGTAAAGGTTTGATAGAACTGTCTGAAAGACAGCATTGCAATAGTCCAGCCTGCACAGAACAAGAGCTTGAACAAGATGATTGCTCACCCGTACCCCTCTTGTGTCCCAGCAGGCGCAGCGGCGGCCTCGTCCTCGTCTTCATCCTCGCCGTCCTCCAGCTCTCTGACGGCGGCTGTCATGCTGACGCTGGCCGAGCCCACAGTGTCCGGCGCGCCGCAGACCTCGGGGCTGTCTGTGGAGTGCAGGTGACAGCAGCGGGACGCCGGCGGCGAGCAGCACAGAGCACTTAACCAGCACCCGGCCCACCTCAACACTGACGGACACAGCGACGGGACGAAACCAGAGCCACCAGACAGCAACAAGCACTATTTTATATCAACAACTGTTTCCTCGGCAAGCTAATTGCACTCAAGTGCACTTTCTTTCTGAGAGTTGTGGGTGGGTCGGGTTTGACAACAGGACTATTTCTGTTTGTTCGTCCGTTCGTTTTACAAACCAATCCCATTGATTTTTGACCATTATGAATATTTGATTCTGTCTTTGAATATGAATTCATCCACAGTGACTGAACACTGTAATTCACCCTCAGATCCACCGGTCCTGGGCCGGAGCCGTTAAAGAGGCGGCAGAGTTTAGAAACATGGGAATTCACTGACGGTCAGTTTGGGCACTCGTGAGGAATGCTGGGAAGCGCTCAGTGCTGGCTAACCTGTAATCCAGGGGTAGATGTGTGTTTCATAACAGAGCCCAAACTCACATGAAACAAAATATCTGCTTTTCTTTTTAATCATAACAGGAATCAAGAGTCTGTCCAGGTCATATTTCACCCTAAAATTATATATATATATAATTTTTTTTTTTTTTTTTTTGTCAAAGAACAAAAAGATATAAAAATAAATTACTGCATTTTTTTCAATTGTGATTTTTTTTTTTCAAAATATATGTAATTTATTAAATATAACATTTAGAAAATACTGTATTACAGTAATAAGAATCACCACTGATTCATAATTTCACAATGAATGCAATTCACATTGATATATATATATATATAATTACTGTATTACAGTAATGAGATTAATGATAATCACTGAGAATGGAAATGATTTAAGCAATTTTACAACAAAAAATTTTTTTCTGTATAATTTGTTAAATATATGATTTTTAAAATACTGTATTAGAGTACTGAGAATCACCACTGACAATAATAATTATACATTTAATAAATAATTTCACAATGAAAAAAAAACCTTAATGCTCCTATAAATAGGTTTAATTTTTTTAATTGTGAAATGTTTCATATATATATATATACTTGTTTATTAAATATATAATTAAAATATGCTGTATTACAGTCATTTTACAAAAACATTGAAAATAATTAGAATTGTATATTTAATAAATAGTTGAATATAAGTAATTTCACAAAGAAAATACATCTTAAAGGCCTTTATAATGAGTTTCATTATGCAATTCTTTTACATTGATATTTTTAATATATAATTATTTATTAAATATATAGTTTTTAAAAATACTGTTACAGTAGCAATTGAGAATTATATATTTAATAAATAATTATATATAAATCATGTCATAATGGAAAACAAAATCTTAAAATGGCCCTAAAAATTGGTTTCATTATGAAAGATTTTTTTAATATTGTCAAAAAATGGCATATTTTAGTAATGAGAATCACCGTTGAAAGTGATGAGAATTGTATATTTAATAATTATATATAAATTCATTTCACAATTGAATTTTAGTTTTAGGGTTAAATTTGACTTGGCTGTGTTTTGGTTCAGATCTCGTCTTATGAATGTTAAATCCCAATTTGTCTATTGTTTTATTTTTAATGATTTCAGAAAGCCTTATGAACAGCCCTTCATCTTCACCGTTCCCCGCTCGATCCGCTGCGTTTGTTCATGTGTTTGTTTCGTCGACAGACGGCTGAAGGAGGCGCGAGCGAGTCGAGCTAAGGGCTATTGAGCAGCGCGCTCACGTTTGGAGACGGAGAGAGTTTGCGTTCAGTATCTCTGGAGGTGAAATGTATTATGATTGTTGACAATTTGAGAATTGATGACTTTTTCTGGCAGCCAGGATTCTAAATGTATTTTACTACTGAAATCTATCCAGACCCTGTGGGGTTTTAATGGTTAATGTGGCAGTATTCAGAAGTGCAATGACAGATGCCGGTCTGTTCTGTACATAGCCTTTGTGTGTTTATGTCTTCCTTATTTCCATTTCCCTCCTCTTTTTCCAATGCTGTGAGTGTAGGCACGTCATTGCCACTGTGGGAAACGGTCCGCTGGTTTGGTGGCTTGTGGGTTAAAGCAATAGTTCACCTAAAAATGAAAATGCTTTCATGTTCTTCCAAAACCATTTGATGATATTTTCCTGTGAAACACAAAAGCAGCTGTTTGCTTTTCCTACAACAACTGTCAGTCTCTAAAAGCAACATTATTTCAGTCTGTTTCTCACACAAATCTCTCCGAGGAAGCTTCTTTCCACCACGGTATAAAAAAATAAAACCGCTAACTGCGACTTTTTTTTCATCTCACCATTCTGACTTTTTTTTTCTCACAGTTTTGAGGTTATAGATTTAGAGAGATTCTCCGAGTTCTGAGAAAAATACATCAGAATTGTGAGATGCAAATGTAGAATTCTGAGAAAAAGTCAGAATTGCAAATTTAAACTGAAATTCCAAGAAAAAAAAAATGGCAGAATTGTGAGATGTAAACTAATAATTCTGAGAATAAAGTCAGAATTGCAAATTGTAAATTTAGAATTAGAGAAAAATACATCAGAATTACAAGACATAAACTTAGAATTATGAGGGGGAAAAACTCAAAATTGTGAGATGTAAACTCAGAATTCTCAGAGATGTAAGTGTAGAATTCTGAGAAAAATACATTGGAATTACAAGATGTAAACTCAGAATTCTTGAGAAAAATGACAGAATTGTGACATGCAACTCAAAACTCAAAAGTGCGAGATGACTTAAACATTTAAATACAGAATTTAAACAAGAATGGCATAATTGCAAGATGCAAACTCAGATCTGAGGGGGAAAAAAGTCAAAATTGCGAGATGTAAATGTAGAATTCTGAGAAAAATGACAGAATTTTAAAATGTAAACTCAGAATTTTGAGAGAAAAAAAATCAAAATTGCAAGATGCAAACTCTTGCAAAAAAAAAAAGTAAAATTGTGAGAAACTCGGAATTCTGAGGGGGGAAAAGTCAAAAATGCGAGATGTAAATGCAGAATTCTGAGAAAAATACATCAGAATTGCAACATTTAAACTCAGAATTCTGATAAAAAAAACAAAAGAATTGTGACAAGTTAAAATTGTGAGATGTAAACTCAGAATTCCATGTAAAGTCAAAATTGTGAGATGTAAATTTAGAATTCTGAGGAAAACTGTGAGAATTGCAAACGTGAACTAATTTCAATATGCTGAACTTTTAGGGGAAAAAGTCAAAATTGTGACACGAACTCAGAACTCTGAAAAAAATATGGCAGAATCGCTAGATGTAAACTGGCAATTGCAAGAAAAAAATGCTTAAATAGGGAGATGTGAGAAATGAGAAAAATGCCAGAATTGCGAGATAAAACGTTTTTTATTGTATTATTCAAGCTTCCGTATCTATCTTGATTTTATAAGACTTCTAATATAGCACAACAGCCACTCCAAGGAAAAGCAACAGCATGGTGTGGAATGACATGAGGATGAGTGAATGTTCATTTGGGGTGAATTACTGCTTTAAAAGTAGAACTAGAGTCAAGTTACAATAAAACCAAGAGAAGCTTCGAGAACCAAGGAACACCTTCCTATATTTTGATGTGGCTCTCCTTACTTTGAAAACGTCAGGCTGTCATCTCTAAACCTCGGTGGTTTCATCCTGCGCGGTCTGACCAGGGAAAGGGTTACGATGGTGAAAACATGCGTCGTATGTACTGAAGATCTCCAGAGTTTCCTTTGTATAGACTCCCTCTTGTATCATAACCTGAAGGTCTGTATCGTTTGGCACTTGTATGCCTTTGTTATACATTTGTATATTGAGAAGTGTGTTTTGAGTCGAGCTATTTAATATCTTGCACTGTTAATACCATGTACGTTTCTGTACAGTTTTACTCTTTTAACTGTAGCGTCTGTGTACATCCGGAAGGTAGAAGCATGGCCATTTTCTTATCCGTTCTTTTGTGTTTCGTTCTTGCATAGAAGTTAGTTTTGATTCAGTTTTTCATACATCTTTGTGTATTTCCGTTAAACTGTGCTTGTACCAGGTTTTCTTTTTCTTTCTTTTTTTTTATAATGTGGTATTTTTCAATCTGTACATGAACTGTAAAGTTTTATGGATCTTTACAAAAATGTTCAGATGTTTGTAAAGACGAGAGAGAGAGAGAGAAAGAGAGAGAGAGAGTGTGTCAAAGCTTAATGGGAAGTTCTATCATATTTATTAAGCTCATCAGAAGATGGACCGTGTGTAATTTATTGTACAAATGTAAGCAGAAAAGCCTTTGAAATAAATGCCATAGTTTGTGACCTGGAAAGTCCACTTTGGTTCCTATCAGAGATGAGTGATGATAAATGTTTCACAATGCTAGATCTACTGATCTGCTGGTGTGTGTTGATCTAAAATATCTTCTGAAGAACCGCACAACCTGAGACTCTGACGATACGGAACAAAGGTTTATATAATTAAAAAAGGTTTAAACATCTAACAATGCAAAACAAAATAATAGAATAGAAAACCTCTACGTTTGGAACAGAAATGAGCACAATGACTAGTTTATTTTTTACTTCATATACTGTGTGTGTGTGTGTGTGTGTAAATGTGTGTATATATATATATATATATATATATATAGACAC